CACCAGCTGAGAACTCTACATGGGGCCCTACCTGCTGTCGTGCCTGGGCCAAATTCCCATTGATCACTGAGAGAGTTTGGTCTAAAAAGGGCTCCAAAATCAGGCTTGTGATAGAATAAACTTTCATGGGGGGAGAAGGGGCCTTACATTGCCTTATAGGAGAGAGAGTGGTGTAATTTAGCCCTTTCTCCTCATGTGATCAGAATATAAATGCAGTACTTCTCTGTTTAAAAAAAAAAAAGCAGCAGTCTGTATTCTGAGCTAGGAGCTTGTAATACGTTTTAAAGCCAATATGATAGAAGACTGGTGTAAACTGAGATAGCTAGCAGATGAGGATCTGCCCTTCTCTCTTTCTGTCACTCACTCCGTGACACCAATGACATACCATGACTACTGCAGGCAACTTGAAATTCTATGGCCTGTTTTCTGCAGAAAAATGGACCAGATTATCACAGGGGCTTAGTCTTCATAGATTTTAAATTAGGCCCACTGACTTCAAGGGGACTACACACATGCCTAAAACGAAGCCTTTGCAGGATCAGGGCCTTCTCTGGTAACTTCTCATTTCTTCAGCATCTTTTCAGTATGAAGTTAAAAAACTTGATTCTGCTTCTGAAAATGACTTTTTATAGAATAATCCCTAGATGTCTGTCACTCTTATTCTGTGGCTATGTTATATCCTAAGTATTACTTGCTCAATTCTTGGGACGGGGAAAGGTTCCATAGGATGATCACATTTTATGGAGTAAGCATGGCTAGTCTATAGTAAAATCATGAAGCTGGACAGGGTATGTGCTACTGTGAAATTTGGGATGTAGTCAAAATGTGTAACTTTTCCCTCCTTAATAAACTGGGTTATACAATGTGTGTGTTGAAAAGCATGACAACATGTCTGGTACTTCTAGTGTGGGGACAAGTCTGTCCAGACACTAAAGTCAAATATATTTATCTTAAAATAGTTAGCTTGAGTACAAAGCAGAGATGGATGAGAAAGAGGCTGTGATAGACGCCAAGTCTCGGATGGCTGGATATTCTAGTATGGAGATGATGATTTTTCAAGTACAACTAACATTTATCCCACATTATTGCATTCAAGGAGCTTTTTGTGTACAACATCCACATGAAGTTACCACCGTGATGTTCATAAACATGGAAAAATTACTTCTGCTCCTCTTGTAGACTCAGCTGTAATTGGTTATTGAAGGAAACAAGACTTCTGGAATGTAGAGATTAGACTCCAGCTGGACCAGCGAAAGTGCATACTTTCAGTACCTGGGCAGCGGCCTGCCAGAATGCTGGGGTTTGCACTCGCCGAATGCAAGGGGTGGGGGTGGGGGACGAAGACTAGCACTGCTGGAGTATTTCAATCCTTAAAGGGGTGGTGGTGGTTTGTATTTATATTGCAGAAGCACCTAGGAGCTCTAGTAGTAAACCAGGACCTCCCTGTGCTGTACAAACACAGTAAAAAGACAGACCCTGCCCAAAGTGATTACAATCTAAGTGTCCTTGAGTGGCCAGGGCCCTCCTGCCCTATACACCAACTAGGAATGGTGCTGAAGGGAGTGCATGCTAAACATCTAAAAAGTGTATGTGCTGCTTCTGAGAGTGAAATCCTAGTCTCACTGAAGTCAATGGCAAAACTCCCATTGGCTTCAATAGAACCAGGACTTTGCCCGGAATGTGCATCTCCTGGCTATCCTGGAGGCATTCTGCCGCTACGCTCTGCACGCAGAATACCTCTGGCCACTGCCACGGGGTGCCGCAGTGACTAATTCCTCCCCACCCTCCCTTTCCTCTGGTTGTGAAATAAGCGAACCCCTAGATTTCTATGCCTTTGGTAGTGACTGACAGTATGATTATCAAACACCCACATACACACATATACTGCATGTACATATGGAATAGTAGGCGAAAAAGACAAAAAAAAAAAAAAAAAATCCAACCACACAGTGCTTTCTCAGAGCATATGTGGATCCAAACAAATAAGGAACACCTAGTAAAACAAGTCCTTTAGGCAGAGGGTGGGGAGAGCATTATAGTGCTTTTCTTTTGAAGAATTACATACTACCTGTTTAATTCTGCTGCCCTGCATGACTGGGGATACCAGATTTTTTTGATTTTGTACAAGGAGGAAAGACAGCATGGATGAAAGGGAGGTTTAATACATTGCTGAGTATTAACTGCTGGAAATTAGCAGGCTGTGAGAAAAAGTGTTTAGGGCAAATTCTAAACCATTTAAAAAAAATAAACTCTTAATCTCCACAAATTGTTGGTAGGAGCTGTCTTAAAGCAGCTTGTCTCTAATACTGACATTCCTTTGTAACTTAAAACAGTGAGTAAGATGTGATCATTGAGAAGAAATTATATATTTTAATGGTATATCAGCCTGAATATAAAACACATGACAGGGCACTCCCTTAATGCAGGAGGCATGGGGAGCTGGACAGCCTGATGTTTGTCTATTACATTATAAAGCTATTAAACAAATAATAAAATATGTACCAGGACATCACTTGCAGATCTACCTTATCGTAAAACTAGGCTGGCCAAAAGTAAAAAATAATCTATAGGAAACAAGCCTATACTTTTAGGAGACTTCACCAGAGGGGACCTATCTATCCTAGAGTTCTATACTGTCACCCATCGCTGTAAAATCAATAACAAAGTTTCTAATGGACTTTTCCCTTTACAGGGATTGGAACTCTGCTTGGGCTAGGTTATTTTTGGAGGGGAAATGGTGATTGGGAATAAAAGGGGCGTTTGGATTGTGAGTGGCACTTTCTGTAGAAAGGCATTCTCAAAGGAGAAGGCTTTGCAATGTTTCTTAATAGATCTTTTTCATCTCTGTCTACTCTAATCACAAAATAAGTTGGACAACAATAAACATGGGTATGATTCTGATTTCGCTTACATATTTTTGCTGGTGTGACTACACTGACTCAAAGGAGCCACTCCTGATTTACACCAATGTAAGTCAGATGAATCAGGCCCTTCCAGGGACTAGATTAAGAAATCATGTATTTGCTGTCATATGTAAGGAAGTCTTTCATTGTGAGACACTACAGTAGACAGCTTTGTTGATGTCAGGGTTACCAACAAGAAATTGTATGAAGTTAAAACCTGAAGATATGTATGGGGGTGGGGGACCTTTCTATTGTACAACTCTTCCCTTTGGACTGAAATTGGAAAACAATGTACTGGCAGCTAGAACTACTGTAAAGTAATGTAAAATCCAGCATTACAGGGAACTGTCTTTATTCACTTCCTGTGCTGGGCATCCTTCAATTACTGGACAAATCAACGATTACTCATTTATTTTGCTCACTACTTAGGGATGTGGGTCGGTTGGGGATGGCAGAGGAAAGTGTTTTTCCGTCAGTGGTTTTCAGTCTTACCTAAAAACTATGCAAGCTCCAGCCACCAGAAAGCAGCTGTTTTATGTTTTTGTGACAGTTACAAGTTAAGACACTCTAAAAATAAAAGCCTAAGGATTTTGCATGTCTGGGCTTGAGGGGGGAAAAGTCTTCCCTTCAAAATATTTGGTCAAATATTTGTAGTTCTGGATAAAAAGGAAAAAAAATGCAGCTCCTAAATATTATGTTGGACCAGATAATGGACCAGATCTGTCACCAGGCAAGCTCTGTTATGTTCAGTGTGTCACACACACCCTGGTAGAATTTAACCCCCTAAGTCAAATCACACTGTTACACCAGAGGAACCAGTTTGACTTCAACTGAGTGGATGTAACAGGGAGCAGAATTTGGCTGAATGCCTTGTATTCTAGTGTCTTAGTTCTTCAGACAACAAAAAGGGGAGTTACTGCTTTTTCTGTCCCTGAAGTTGCAGTGGAATGGAAAGGTGCAAGGGGCAGCTACAGTGACTTCTCTGTCTTTGGCAGAGTTCATCACCTATTGGATCCTGCTAACCCACTGCTGCTGCACCAGGGGAGGACTTATGGATAAAGACAAAGTATTTCACTTAGAAAGGAAAATCAAATGTGCAACTACAAAATGGAGAATGGCTAGGTATTAGTACTGCTGAAAAGGATCTGGGGTGATAGTGAATCACAAATCAAATAGGAGTTGTCCATGTGATGTAGTTGTGAAAAAGGCTAGTATGGGTTGTATTAACAGGAGCATTGTATGTAAGGCATGGGAGGCAATTGTCTGGCTGTAGTCAGCACTCAGGCCTCAGCTGGAGTACTGTGTCCAATTCCAATGAGGCAAGATATGGGCAAATTGGAGGGAGTCCAGAGAGGACAACAACAAAACTGATAGAAGTTTTAGAAAACTATGAGGAAAGGTTAAAAATAATGGGCATGTTTAGTCTGACAAGTCTTCAACCATGTTAAGGGTTGTTATAAAGAGGACAGTGACCAATTGTTCTCCACTGGAAGTAGGAAAAGAAGTAATCTGCTTAAGCTGCAGGAAAGGAGATTTAGGTGAAATATGGGGAAAATCTTTCTAACTCTAAGAGTAGTTAAACTCTGGCCTAGGCCTCCCAGGGCAATTGTGGAATCCCCATCCTTGGAGGTTTTTAAGAGCAGGTTGGACAACCACCTGTCAGGGATGATCTAAATTCACTTGATCCTGCCTTCGTGCAGGGGGTTGGACTTGACCTTTGGAGGCTCCTTCCAGCCTGACGTGTCCATAATTCCACCCTCCACCCCGGCTCACATGGGGCGAGCAACTTCTTGCGCTGCACTGGGAATGCCCCCGCCGGCAGCACGGGGCAGGTGCTGGCTTAGTCCCTCAAGGGAGGAGATTGGTTCAGGACCCCTCCAGCTTCCCCGGCACACACAGGGACCTCTAGGGCCCCCGCCTCCCTCTGCCAACGCCATCCCTGCTCCGAGTCCCCCGCAGCTCTGTCCTGCCCTTGAAGTGGCTGTAAAACAACCGTGTAAAGTGACCGGAGCCGTCCCCCCGCCCCTAGCTCGACCCTCCGGGCTGGAGCCGGGTCCAGGCAGCGCAGCGGGTCCCGCCGGCAGCCGCCCTCCCTACCTGCAGGCGCGAGCAGCTCCCCTTCGCTCAGCTCCGCGGAGTCCGAGTCCATGGTGCAGCCGCGCGCCGCAGCAGCTCCGAGGGGCGCCGCGTGCAGCCCTGGGCTCGCCGCCGCCGCCGCCGCGCGGAGAAGTGCAGCCCGGAGCTGGGGAGAGCGGAGTGAGCGAGGGGGCGCGGGCGGCTCCGCTCCTGTCTCCTCCCAGCCCGGGCCCTGGGTCGGCGCCGCCACATGCAGCCGCCTCGCTCCGTGCCATTGGCTGCGAGGCAGGCGGGCCCCTCGGGGGCGCACAGGGGGCGGGAGGAGGAGGCTCAGCGCTCTCCCTAAACTTGTTACATGGGCTGATCTAATCACCGGCTGCGGCTCCGCAGCGTCCGCAGCTTGGCCGGCGCTGCTGGGAGCTTGGGCCCCGGCCCAGCCTCATAACCCAGAGCCCCGGGGCCGTTCGCTTTCGGTTCTGGGGCTTTTGCTGGCTGGCCCGGTGCAGTGCCCGCGGCTCGCCTGCATGGCTCTTCTGGGCTTGGTCCCCGGGCTGCTGGGTATGGCTGGGGCTCCCTCCCTGCTCCCTTCCGCCCTTTGCACGCAGGGCAAATAGAGCCTCTCTAGTAGCCAGTTATTACTCTTCGCCTGGGAGCCCCACTCAGGGACCGGACAATGTCCTGCTAGGCGCTGTACAAACACAGAACAGAAAGACAGTTGCTGCCCCAAAGAGCGTACCAAGGATCATTGCCTATTGTCTGTTCAGGATCTTACTGTCCCATTCAGTGGGGGAAATGTGCTGCTGATTCTCTCCTTTTTTGTTTCTCTCCCGTCTCCAGCATCCTTTCTTCCCTTTTACCTGTATTTGTGTCTCTCTTCTGGATGTCCTACCCTTTGTGAGCTACCAGTTCACAATCTCTACCCATTCTAGCTCCTCAAAAACTAAGCAATGAAAGAGTTAATGTTGGCATGTGTAAGTGCAGTGGCATCATTGGGCATATGAACTGACATGGGAAAGCGATCAATAAGGGGGCAGAGGCGTTCACCCCCCTCATGCCTTCCTCCATGCTGCTGCAGAGTGTGAAAACCCAGAACAGTGTTGTGAAGTACACAGAATGCAAAGGTGCCTAACCTGCCCTGTGCCGCAGAACCACAGCAGCAAAAGTGGAGTCTGAATTTGCTCCCCAATCTATAGAAAGTCCCAGTGTTCCCTCTCCCTTCATATCAGGCGTGGCCAAAGTCCTACCTGCAGAGACAACAGATCTCAAGATGTCGCAGCCTGGCCCAAGCAGACGGGAGCCTGGCCTCTGTGCAGGACACACCTCTGTGTGAAAGATGAGGGTGGCTGCAAGCTGCTCCATTTATATTTTGCATGTCAGGAGCAACTTAATTTGAGAAGTTGCCAGCATCATCCTCAGTGGGTAAAGTTTGGACCTCCAGCCTTATAGTAAGAAGACCTTTGTGAGATATCACAGACAGCCATGTCAATTCAATGACAATGACAACAAAGCCTGCCATTAAGACATATTACACAAAGGAGTAGAGAGCACAGCTGGGGAAGGCACTGCATAAGTGTGTTATGGAGAAAGCCTCATGGCAATAAGAAGTCCCCAGAACAGAATCAGAGAATTGCTGCAGGTGATGATAGACATCACATTCAAAACAAAATCTGAGAGCTCCAAGGTACCAACTCCCCACCTTTTGAACCAGTACAACCCCAAAGAGTATAAAAAGGCTTTCTCCACTAACAGAGCATCTAATTCTGGGGGCTAATGGAGGGAAGTTGCCCATCAGATGTGGATTTGAATTTAATCCGTCTTCTCAGTCTTTCCTTCCTTCAGATGTATCAGCTTCTGAAAGCTTTTATCCCTGGTATACAAATGTTATCACACTGTAGGCAAACGTTGACTTTTTAATGGCACTAGGCAGGGCATACCAAAAGCTTAACATTCAGCCCACTGCAACCATATTCCTACCACCAACCGTCTTAGGTGCAGCACACTCTTCTTCCAGAATAATAATAATAATAATTAATAATAATTAATGGCCTTACTAAAAGAAATTCTCTAATTTTTTCAGGTTGGATTTTTTGGGCAGGACCTATACTATAATCACATCTGCTTGTGGGAGAGCTTTGGAGATCCACACTTGATTATCACATAGTCCATGTTCAGCTAGTATCCAGTGTTAGATGCTTCAAATTCAGAAGTCTTTGATACCAGATGTTCAGTTGCCACTAGACATTATTTTTCATGATCCTTTAAAGAGGAAGAAGCCTTGGCTTGGGATAGTGAAAATGAAAACTGAACCCCACTCCTTTTTCATTGTTGTCAGCCTTTTTCTCCTTGGATAACTAGACCAATAGATAATGCAGTGGAAATGAAATAACTTAATCAATATTCTATTGCGTCAAAGGTGAGAAATATACATTGTGCATTCTCATTGCTGTGCTGTAATTATTTGCTGTTCCACAGTAAATTCTCTTTCAAGGTCATTTTCCTACTTTATTGCTGGCTGCTAACTGTACAGCAGTCACTAAAGTTTTCAGCTGAAATAGAATGAGCATATTGTTTCATTTCAAAACATATGGTTAGAATTCATTTTTTCCTTTAAATGTTCTTTAGCCAGCAGAGTCCAGCACTTGTCGTAACATGTGACATGGAAAATTCCATGTGCGTAGAGCTCAGAACTTCATAGTTTCCACCCATTACAACAGTGTGCACAAGAAAACCAAAACCAATTAATGACAATATGTGCCATACATATATAACTTAAGTAATAGTCCACATTCTGAAAACAGCTTCTGTTTGATTTTCTTTTGGTTTATTATAAATTGCTCTCTGTTCAGCTACATAGTTCACTGTTATGAGCTTAGTACCATAACATGTATTTCCTGTATTACAAGACATTCATGGTTCTAGGGTAGCTACACCGGATGCTGGCACAATGCTTTTAAAGGCCCAAATCCACAGGTGGATTTCCACACCGTCATGTGAATCTCTCCTGTTCATGTGGCTCTCATTTGGAATCCTTTACTGCCTCTTTATTGTACCTGAGTGGTGGAGATCTGTTTGTGGGAGATCCACACTCTAGAGATCCACACTTCATTATCACATAATCAATGTTCAGCCACTATCCAGGTTACACTCACGTGTGAGCACACTTGCAGTGCAGCAGTTTCTATCTTAAGTACTTATTCTATTTGAGTGCCTCACAATCACAGCACCTCTATGAAGAAGGAGGGTACTATTATCCCTATTTTACAGATGGGGACCTGAAATAACTTACCCAAGGTCAGACAGGAAGTCTGTGGCAGAGCATGCAATTGAACCTGCGTCTTCTGCACCCCAAGCTAACACCCTAACCACTGGGACAGCCTTGCTTTCTGAGTTCAAAATGGAGTGTGCCAATGGACAGCCAGAGACAGGTGAGATGGAAACTGGAGAAGTGAGAGATCTGTGAGTTGTCAGCAGACAAGTCATAGTTGAAGCTGTTACAGTGTAACTCACTGTTGTCTCCCAGGATGGCCGGAGAAAGAAAACAACACTAATGGAGAGTGGGTGGGGACTCCAGGGAAGGAAAGGGCAGAGAGGTAGGAAGAGAGCCACTGTAGCCCAAAACTTTTGAAGCCTCGGGAGACGAGTCTTTAGATGACAGAATGACTGATCGTGTCAAAGACATGACAAATGGATCAAGAAGGATATAAATGGGAGAGCTTGGGACGTCACTGGGAAGTGGTGATGACTTTGGTTAGGGCACTTTCAATGGTGTGGCTGGAGTAAAAACTAGATGGGAGTGGGGCAAAAGAGAAATTTGGTAGAGAGGCAGTGTGAGTAGATAACTTGTCCACAAAATACGGAGGTAATTAAACCAGTTTCCTCTGCCTCCCTTCTTTATCTCCACTCACAACTCCAGCACCCTTAATAATCTCCCTCTCTCCCAGGCTCATATATTCTGTGTAACCTTGAACTCTTTCCATCTTGCTCATATCAGGTGTCTTGCTAAGGTATGTCACTACTTCATCTTTCTCCACTGGTATCCTGGCTCTTAATATGTCAGGTTCATGCTCATTGTCCACTTCTCCAAGCCCCTACAAATCTGGCCCTCACCTATATAATTTCTCCTTCTACCCATTCTCTCTCTTTAGGCTCTTCCCAATCCTCCCACCTGACTCCTCCCTTTTATCCCATTTTCCTACTCTCAGCTTTATACATTCTGTCATGCTGCCCCTACATCTGCAACAGTCTTCAACTTTCTCTCCCCTTCTTAAAACCCCCCTCGCCAAGCAATCTCTCCTCCCTTTCCTGTAGTGTTGCCCTTGTCTGATTTAGATTGTAAAATCTTTGGGGCAGGAATGCAACTCTCTGTTTATACTGGCTTTGTAAATGTAAGGGCCTATATAAATCATTTGTAATAACAATAATAATAATAAATGTTATTTAATTAGTAGTCTCCCCAGAGTGTGCTATTTCTAATGCTGTTTATTATTATTTTGTCTCCATTTTGTAAATTTTATCTTGTTACCTCCAAATCCCATCGTTACCCGCCACTGAGTGTCATCTAGAAACATATTTCACAAGTATGGTAGCTTCCTTTAACCACTTGTGGATTTCCTTTAATCTCTTTGCCATGATGCCATTGTTCAGTCTATTTTGCATGATAGTGTAGATGGATGTATTTCAGGAAGGATGAGCATTCACACTGGTAGACTGAGTGATTGACATTAAGCTTTAGTCATTATTCTATCAACAGCTTTGCCGTACCATTAATTGTCAAACTACCATCTTCTTACTGATATTCAGATGTTAATCAGCCTTTATAAATTCTTTAGTACATTTTACTTATACTGCTGCACATGTACCTTTATGATATAAAAAGAAAGGAGTCTTCTCCTTAATTAGAATTCTGTTCATAGCCACCTGAATTGTTTAAACGCGACTCATATGTCAATATGTCCTCAAAACTCTATACTTCTTTTGCTTCTGATTTAGGCAGATTATGTGTAACAAATGCTGCATATATACATGTGCAGAAGTGTTTCCTGCCTGCATTTACTTAGGTAGCATGAAGCATCCTACAGTATCTGTCCCAAATTCCTAGTATGCCAGCAATGTATTAGTAATCATTAAACTTACTGAACTGAATACCACCTGTGTATCTATGGTATCAGTGTTTACTTAAAGAACTGTGGAGGCAATGGTAGCTTTAGGCTAGACTCTGTATTAGACCTACACTAGGGTTGGAGTTTAAGTCTTTAGGGAATCAAGTTTAGGGCTAGGGTTAAAATTTGGCTTTGATGGTGTGACATGG